AAGGTCGAAAGGGCCCGAGGCTTGCAGAGTCATGCATCCCTTTAAGGATCTTTTACGTTACCAAGAAAGAAATGACAACATTTTTGCCCCAGAAATTTCGAGGCCCAATCCATGATGACGTTATTTTGTTTGTGTGTTTTGAGCAGGGAATTGTTTTATTCATAATTTCTAACACAGCCTCATCAGTGACGCACTCATCGTCTGTGTCTCTTTGTATTCTATCCCTCCCCATCATCTTGCCGTTTATGTTTTCCATCAAAAACTGTCACTGACTGTAAGATATATTACAGGACAAGTGTGGTGGTGCAGTGTGTCAGCCTGCTGCATGGGACACTCTCATCTTAGAGTGTCTGGTCCAAGTCTGAGCTACTTTGCGCTTCTGATCAAGCTTTCTGCCAGCCTGCCTGTGGAGTAGAAGATGATGACCCAAATACTTAAGTTCCTGCAAGTTTGCCAGGGTTTTCATGGCAAAGATTAGGCGGGTACAGAGGAGAGCAGAAGGGCCCTTCTTGCTCTAAGCGCATACAGACACCATGAAAATGATGTCCTTCAGGAACTTGTTGTCAACTTACTAAGAGAACAGCACTAGTCAAGTTTATCAGAAAAAGAATGTTTATTTCAGGAAGTGTGTTTGTGGACACACAGATGTTATAAAACAATTCACTTTGTATTTCTTCTTCACCATGAAATTGTCAGAAACTTCCTCCCATGAAGCAATATTATGTACTAAGTTGTTTCCGGTGCTTTGGATTAGTTACAGGGCCCAATTTCCCTTTCCTTTTCTTTCTTTCTTTTTTGTTTAACAAGATTTATTTATTAATTTATTTTTTATCAGAAAGGCAGATTTACAGAGAGAAAGAGTGGAGAGAAAGATCTTCCATGTGCTGGTTCACTTCCCAAGTGGCCACAATGGCTGGAGCTGAGCTGAGCTCATGTGGGCACCCTCATGTGGGATCCTGGCCAGTGCAAGGCAAGGATTTAGCCATTGTGCCATCATACCAGCTCCTTCTTTTTCTTTACCTTTAATTTCATGATTTTTGGAAAAAATCATTAATTTTAAAATGTCCATTACAGAGATGAGGGTATAGAGATTGCAAACTCATGTGTAGGCCTCTGGTAGGGATGCAGAGGGTCAGGCAGGAGAGGAGGGATGAGAGAGAGATGTGTGTAGATGGGAGCACTGCTTCTTGTTGTCAGCCTACACTGTGATTCATTCCGAGGGGAATGCGGCATGAGGTGTTTTCCAGGATTACATGACCATGGAATCATCCGTTTAAGAAAACTTTAGATATCTGGTATTCCCCCAGAATACACATTGGTAAATCCATTCTGGGTGGTTATGTAACCAAGAGTGGAGAATCTAGGAGAACGAGGGTGCTGGAACATGGCCAGACAAACAATTTGAAAGTAGTAGTATCATACGTTGTTTTCAGGGTTTGCTCTAGGACATAAACAAGAAAGGTTAGAGTTAAAAGCAGCAGCTCCTTGAATTGAGTTTCTGAATATACCATGCTTGAAGGCACTTCAAGCATAGCAGGGTCTGCCCATTCTCTTCATCTACATCCTGGACACTCCCTAACCCTTGCCAGAAAAGCTCCAGCACTTTGGTTTTCCAGTAGGCAATTCTCTTCTGAACTCACCTGTTCCATTGCGTCCTTTACGTATAGCGAGTCCATAAAGCTTTCCCCTGGGAAACTTCCTTCTGAGAATTATTGCTTGATGAAACCTCATGCAAAAGACTCCTTGTATCTACTGACACTTATTAGGTGAATTAACAAGTAGAGGAATAGAAACGCCAGGAAAAGAGGCTTGGAGAAGGCAATGATCAGGAACGGCTAGAGAGAATCGGAGGCTGCTTCTGAAAGGAGGCTGTGAAGGCTGATTCCAACAGGAGTGCTGAGTGGGACATCTGCAGATGGAGGAAGAGGCTGGAACCAAAGACAGTGATGAGAAAACACAAATTTCGTTCAAGCTGTAGCAAACATTTCCAGCTGTGTTTGCTGTGGAATCTTAGGCTCGCACAAAATGAATGCAGACCATATCAGAAGCCAGACACAGTATTTGGGCAGTCTGCTGATAACAGATAAAATTTAGGGGGAAAGGGACTGCAGTGTAGCAAGCAGCAGTTTAGAATAGGCTTGTATGATAGTAGTCACGGTAGCTAGCGTCCTGTGACCTCAGGGTCAGCATTAAGAGGGGCATGCAACTATGGGCAATAGTCCAAAAGAACAATACTGACATAAGGTATGGCATCTTATGAAAAGTCTGCCAAGCCTCTTGTCTCCAGTGTAAATGAGAATAAGCAGAAATGGGGTGGCCCTTAGCTTTGAAGGGAAGGGAGAACTCCTAGTTTCCTAATTTCCTTATTCAGGGATGGAAGGGGCCTGTGGACTCAAAGCTTTCATGGGAGCCCACATGACCATCACACTCCTAGAGCCCCTCTTCATCCTGTATGTCATAGTTAAGAATATCATCAGTCTAATTGATGCGGAAGCCATTGATTTGTTCTGAGTTCTGATGTAGGATGCCATCCTGAAAGAGCTCTTGTCATGGGAGTTGGTGGCAAGTGCTGCTCCTGACAACTTACTTTGCAGCTCGTTTGCCAGACAAAAGATGGGGGTGCTGGAATGTCAGGCTCATTTGCTCAGCAGAGATATCCTGTTTCCTGGGCACTTCTGTTGGGTTAATCATCCCTAAATCTACATCTTTGTCATGTCAGTGATGAGTTCTGACTGAAGACCCACTTTGGACAATCTTCAAAACAGAGTGACCGCTGGGTTCAGGGCATACATAGACAGACCACATGTTCTGCTCTTGTTCTAGATCTTCTAAAAGACAGGTAAGATATTTCTCCTCAATATCAATATCCCTTAATACCAGAAGCCAAGCAGGGATTCAAACCTTTGATTATAAATCTCTTAATTATAGATTCCTGGTTCCATACTTGTCCCTCTGCAGTATTCTCGTTTTAAAGTCCATTAGGGGGAGTATCAAATGCTTTTGCTCTATAAATGGTTCAGGGACATAAATGAAGATTTTATCCTACATATATCCATGATACAAAATTCCTATACTTACCTAGCCCAGACACTGCAATGTTAGGCTTCTAAGAATCCTTTTTCTTTATATGTTTATTCCCAGAATCCTTGATTGAATTGATTAATTCAACTCAAAAGTATAGTTGGACAGTCCCTCACTTGTTTGCAACTCTTGCCAAGAGATTTTTGAGACTTTTCAAATTAAAGTTTGGAAATACTTTGCAATATTTAAGTGATAATCTCATTTTCAGTTCTTCTAGGGAGGTTTTGGATGACACCACAATTCAGTTTTCTTTCTTTCTTCTTTTTTTTTTTGGTAAGGGAATAAGGATACGAATTTACTTCACCTGAAGTCCAGATCTCTAAACAGGAAGTAGTCTACTTACAATGTGTCCTGATCTGATGAAATGGTTCCCTCTCACTCAAACATAAGAAAGTCGTATTGTGGGCCTGGAGTGATAGCCTAATGATTAAATCCTCATATTGCATTTGCCTAGGATCCCATCTAAGTGCTGGTTCATATCCCAGCTGCTCCACTTCCTATCCAGTTCCCTGCTTGTGCCCTGGGAAAGCAGTAGAGGATGGCCGAAGGCCTTGGGACTCTGCACCTGCCTTGGAGACCTGGAAGAAGCTCCGGGCTTCAGATCCACTCAGCTCTGGCTGTGGTGGCTACTTGGGGAGTGAACCAGCAGATGAAGATCTTTCTCTCTGTATTTCCCTTTCTCTGTATCTCTGCCTTTCTAACAACAAAATAAAATAAATTAAGAAAAAAAAGAAAGTCATATAGCATGTATGGTCATCAGTCAAGGAATAACTAAGCACATTCCTGGAATGGAAGCTTCTATAGCGTCTACATTTTAGGACACAGGGTAGTAGCCAAGCCCTTTTGGGCCTTAAAGGGTTCTGCAAGTGACCCACTTAAATGGATGGGAAAATAGTATAAAGCATTCCAAAGGAATAAGATTGCTGATTTAGGGGCCCGGTATGGGCTACTACATACTGTGGAGTCATTTTAAGATGCATGTCTGCTGCCTTGGGTGACTTAGCCCAGACCACTGGCCAAGCTCTAGAGCAACTACAAGATTCTTCAGATTCTCCAGCTAATGCACTCATGGGCAACTAAGTACTCTTACACTACTTACTGCAGAGTGCGGTGGAGTGTGTGAGCAGATTAATGACATCTGCTGCACTTAAGTTAACAACCGTGAGCTCTCATGGTTTATGATCAAGCCAAGTGCTGCCGTGATGTTGAGAAAGGAAATCTCATAGCCTTGAACATCTGTGAAGCAACAAAAAGTGCTCTCCCTCCTTTGACAGGGTTCTTACACTTGCTCCTTTTGAGCATTTTTATCCAACCTAATTGCAAGATTTGTGTATTTTAGAACCTGTCACAATGGTTTAGTTGACTAATCTTAACCTCACAAGTGCTTGGACCCAACATAGGCACCGGTTTATGTCCTAGCTATATAATTTTCCATCCAGCTGCCTGCTTGTGGCCTGGGTTTTTATTGGAAAGTCAGATTTACAGAGAGAAGCAGACACAGAGAGAAAAATCTTTCATCTATTGGTTCACTCCCCAAGTGTCTGCAATGGCTGGAGCTGAGTGAATCTGAAGCCAGGACCTTCTTCTGAGTCTCCCACATGGATTCGGGGTCCCAAAAACTTGAGCCGTCCTTGCCTGCTTTCCCAGGCCACAAGCAAGGAGCTGGATGGGAAGTAGAGCAGCTAGGACATGAACCGGCATCAATATGGAATTCTGGAAAATGCAAGGCAAGGGTCACTAGGCTATTGTGCTGGACTATGAGTTGGGGATTTGTATATTCAAAAATAGAAGTCAGAGAACTGTCTCTTCTTGTATGCATCCCAGCCTAGAACAAAACTTCCCACGCACACCAATCGTGCTAAGTAAATAGTCGCTTTTTTTCATGTTGGTGTTGGACAATCACATCACAACATCAGGGATCCAAGAAAATAAATTTATTAAACTTTGAAGGAAAATAATCCACAGACATAAAGAAAGTTAAATATAAACCGCAGGACACAACTAGTCATACTAGTGAATAATGGCTTGTGTGGCCAGCAAAGTACCAAAATGACATTCTGAGACTGATTGAGGTATTTAGCTATTTTTGGCTATAGAAATGTTGTTAGCCTATTGTGAAATGGTAAGATAGTTCTTCCAAACACATAGTTTTAAGTTGAATTAGATTCTACAGTGATGATATTGTATATGAAACTAAATTATGTAGCTCTTGGAGAAGACCATAGCAGCAAGGTAGCAGAAAGTCTATTAAACATTGACTACAAGGTAACATGGTAAACTTTAAACACCATCTAACTTCTCACCATCTTTCCTGTAACAAAGAAGGAAGTAACAAATCAGTCATTTTGCTTGCTTCCTAAAAGGGTCCTAGTTAAACGGCCAATGTTATTTAAGTGAATGCTAACTTTAAAGTTTTGAACTAAAAAAAAAAAATCCTTAAAATAGGAAGAATTTTCATTTTTCTAATCTTTTTGGGAACTGTGCCTATGCTTCTAAGAAGGATGCATAGGTTATTAGAGAATTAAATACTGTATAAATTACTCAAGTCCCTTTATTACCTTCATTATTTTATTTATTTATTTTTTCTGGCTACCTGCTTTGAGGCCAGCCTACTCTGAGGGAAAATGAAGAAAAAATGAAATGTTTCCTTTCATTGCTTAAACAAAGCCAATAAATGCTTGGTGAGAAGGTTTCTACTCCTGGGTTAAGCATTCTGAGTTATCTGTGGGTACAGAGAGCCCTGTTTGTTTTATTTCTTGTTACCACGAATACTGACAAGGTACACAAAACCTAATTCTTAAATCTGCTCGTTTCTTTACCAGCTAGCTTCATTTGACCTGCTTCAGCTCAGTACAAAATAAAGCAGAACTCCATTTGCCAGGGCTCTGCTGCCAAGATGGCAGGGTGTTCTGAGAGCTCGTGCTGCGGGCCGCCCCAGCACGTGGGTCTCCTGCTTGCCGTGAAGCAGCAGTGACATCCACTTTGTTTGGCCAGGAACTCTGTGGCATGTGAACCAAGATCGGGTGAAGAGAAGTGCTGTTTGTGTTTTTGGTTCATGGTAGGTGTATTTGTGCAAAGACTTAAAAATGTTTCTAAATTCACAAACCTTTGATTGCAAATTCTGATAAAATAAGTGTGTTCCAATATGTAACTTTCTAGAGTCATTTTAGAATCAAGGAGTTTGAGGAGGTATAAAAAGGGTCTTGTAAAAAACCTGTGTGTTTTTCCTTAGGCGCGCCGATCAAAAGCCTTAAGCCAGCTTCCAACTGCAGGTGCCACATTCTGTGGCTGCATCCTTCCAACTTCAGTACACAGTGTGTAATGTGATATAAAACAGCCATGCTTGAAGTTTAAATTATTAAAAATATCTTTATCAAGTTTATGTCAAAATAAATGCTTTGTATATTTTATATATCCAAACTAGTTTTGCCTTCTTCCCTATAGTTTTCAAGTCCCAATTATTTAACAAGAAAAACAAAAATTAGCCTGTGCTATGATTCTCATTCAGTTCTCCTGAACTGCAAAAGCCACCTGATTTTTCGCTTTTTCAAAAAGCATGATTTTTACTGTACATTAAAAACATAGCCATTCAATGCTTAGTATCACAAAATTAACACCCACCACAAGGAGACTATCACTACCACGAAACAGTCTGAGACAATTCTTTAAAATATTTACAATTCACAATAGGAGTAGCTATCTGATTAAACATTCTTCTAATTTTTTTCTTTTTTCCTTTTTAATATCCTGTCTCAACATTTCCAAAAAAGGCGTTTAGAATCCACCTCCTATTCTGTCATTGCACCCCTAGCAAGGTTTACACATTGATTTGGTTTAAGCATTCATGCCCCAGCCAATCCTTTGCCATGAAAGACATAGTAGCTCTTGGGAAATCTAAGAAGAGCTAAGGCATGATTTTGTTCAGTTGGTCTGTGCTCACATAGCCACACGATGAGAGAAACTCCTTGTCAGGCAAGGGCACAGGCACAGGCACAGGCAAGGGTGCTGTGTTGAGTACGAGGCCCTGTGGAGACTGCACTAAATGAATGGAGCTATAGTCTGGGACGGGCACCTCGGAACCCGATGTGGCTGCCACTGCTCCAGACCTCCCCGCAGTAGTGGTAAGGCTTTCCGTGGTGATATAAATGTCCTCCTGGTTAAAGCTGGGCACGGCACGCGATTCCCGCTCAACCTGAGGGGCCGTGGTGATGCACTTCTTGGCGTCTGCTTCGCAGAAGTAGGCGTTGTCCATGAGGAAGTTGGCTTGGCACAATGGGCTCACCTCTGGATGAGCGTCGCACTGAGAATTCCCTGCCTTATTCTTCTGGCCCGGGGAAAGGACCACACTCCCTGCTGGCGTGATGTCACTAACCTGGGCGTAGAAGTCGATGTTTGCCAGTGAATTTGGATTGCTGAGCTGAGAAGGTGCAGCTTGAAGAGTTGACTCGATTTCATCAGCAAGAAGCGGTCGCGGTTTGTCTTCTGCGGGGACGACGACGTGGGGCTGCTGCGCGGCAGGGGAAATGTCCTGGTAAGGTAAGTCCCTTTGATTCTTCTGGTCAAGGCACAAGAGATCTGCTTCCCCTTCTAACCTCTGTGGCTGAGCAGCCTCTGAGATCTCGTCACCCTTGAAATCAGATTCCAGGAGGTCAGGTTCATAACAGCTGGTACGGCCGGAGTCGTCATCTTTTGCCCCGAGGATGGTCAGTGACTTCTGATGGTTGTTACTTAGGAGTCTGTCTGTGTCCGACCCCTCGGTCTTCTCATCAGGGTCATCTATATCTAGCTCGATAAATTCAACCCAAGAGTCATCGTTGAAGAACTCGGGCTTATAGCTATCATGAATGGCTAAGATCGTGTTCACCTCCTCCAATTTTCCTTCCTAGGACACAGAAAGAAAAAAGATCCGTGAAAAGGAACCCAGGGATTAAGTAATTTAATAAATAGTATTCAGAGATCAATATTGGTAACAATAAGAACAACAGGAATTAAAAAAAAGGTAACAGAAATGAGACAGTGCAGATTTTTAAATGGGCATGACATCATAATTTAAGAATCCAAGAGTGAGGTAGAAAAAATGTGAACATAGTACATATAGTTGGGCAAAAATAAAAGAACCATTTCAACACAAGAACAGAATTCTTCAGCTGTTAATTAGTGCTACCCACAATTAGACATATTTATTAATTACCTTGAGGAGATCTGGATCAATTCCTTTAATTTTTGGAACTGGAACTGGGGGCAGAATCAGCATCTTAATCCTTGAAAACAAAATTGTGTTTGACATGTTTTAAACATTACATATTATCTTTTATCAAAAGATAGAAACAAAACATTGGCAGTATTGTTACTTATTCCAAATATTCTGATATTTTACATAAGTTCAATGTGAGACAGGAAAAGAAAATAGTAAATGATAAATAACAACAACAGAAAAAACTACAGAAAAGAAAACCAACAACAAAGAAAAGTCCTATCTGAAGTCCACATAAACAAAATATAGTTTTCTTTTCATCTTTCTCTTCTTTGGGCTTCTTATGGACAGCAAACTTGATTATTTGGGAGTAAGTGATTTAATTCAATCTGAAATCAATTGCCACGTGAATTATAAGGGAGATTTTAATGTACATTTAATCAATAATTTGCAAAGAAAATACAGAAACAAAGAAAAAAGCCAAAATTACTTGGCAGCCTTTTAAAAGCAGGGACTTGGGTATATTAGCATTATATAGTTTACTTTATTTATAGAGTTACCTAAGATGAGCTCATTAATTAGAATGTTATCACAGGGCTCATTTCAGGCGGAACAAACTAAACAGGACTCATCTGTAAACAATCAGTATAGATTTATATACATAACTCCAATGCATTCACATTTTCTGTTTTAAATGTTTAAATATTCTTATATCATAATTCATCTCAGTGTCTTTCCTGCCAACCTTGTGTCTTGAAGTATCTTCAGCACTTAACACAATTCTTGGCACAAGGAATGTGCTTCATAAATTACTCAATCCAAAATAATCATTTGTCTATGTTGTCAATTGCATCGCCAGAATTGTTATCTTAAATAAAATAGCTATGGAAAAAAAACTTCAGTGATCACTCATTCTAATCAATTCATTATATTTATATAAAACTCCAAAGTGTTCAGAGATGTGACTATGGGTTAGAGATGGAGGCCTGATCTTTGCGTATCAGCTGCTTTCCTGTCTATTGCGATTGAACAGTCTAGTCTTGTCAATAAGGAAGCTATTCAATAATTCCACCCATCTACCAATTCAAGGAAACTGCCAAATTTCACATTAGAAGTTGATATGAGGAGTCTTTGCTTTGCTGACTTGGGGGGGGGCAAGCATTAAAATTTCATCTGATAAATACATAGAGAAATACATATAAATGATCATGTATGCTTATGTTATTTAAATATGTCCGATAAACCAGATGCTGTGAAATACACTTTGCTTTAAAACTAAGGGATGGCAAATTACAGCCTGTGGACCTTAATCCTACTTGTCACCAATTATTAGATGAAGTTTTATTGCAATTACCTACTGTTGATGGCTGTGCTTATGTCACAGGGCAAAGTTGGCATGACTGAGAGCGTATGACCTGAACTAAGCATTTCATTTAATCCTTACATCTTCTGCGCTGGCAGATGACATGATCTGTGTAAAGATTTAGAAAACTGAGGATCTTATTCAAGCCACACACTAAGAGTTGGCGACAGCTGGGGATCAAAACACTTGACTAAAAAACTCTTTGGGCTTTTACTTAAATAAATAAAAAAAAGAGCTTATGTTTTTCTAGAAATGACTCAATTATCTGGATTGAGTCAGGGAGAAGGTATTTGGATAATGAATTGTGGACTCAAAATTTCAAAAGACAAGTAGGAACTACCTGCAACTCTGGGAAAGACTGGTAGAAGCATCTTACTTTTTGGAACATCGTCTTAATTGTGGGAACTATGTGGTCTTTCTATATCTGCTACTTTAGATAATTTCTGATCTCCATTAGATCATGTACATTTAGAAAAGGATAAGGGATTTTATGGGAGTCTAAAACACAAATTCTTTTCTACAAAGAAGTCAAATTAAAGCCAAAAATTTGGAAATACAGCAAAGATTTCACATCATCAATTTTATAATTTGGTGATTTCGACCAAGTGCGACAGTTTAGGAGAAAACACTCTTTTAGACAAGCATGACTATATTTGACTGGAAATATTGTTTTTAAGAGGATGATTTATGGGCCCAGTGCAATTAGCCTAATTCCTTAAGTCCTCGCCTTGCATGTGCCAGGATCTCATATGGGCACTGTTTCACGTCCTGATGGCCCTACTTCCTATCCAGCTGCTTGCTTGTTGCCTGGGAAAACAGTTGAGGATGGCCCAAAGCCATGGGGCCCTCCACCTGCATGGGAGACCCGTAAGAAGCTCCTGGCTCCTGGCTCCTGGCTACAAATTACCGCAACTCCGACTGTTGTGGCCACTTGGGGGAGTGAACCAGCGGATGAAAGATCTTCCCCTGTCTCCTCTCCTCTCTTATATATGACTTTCTAATAAAAATAAATCTTAAAAAAGGATGAGTTTTTCTTGCTAATGTTGTTGGCTAATATAATCAAGTAGCATAATTACTTGGCTTTCAAAATGACCCCAAATTGACTGTGAACGTTAAGAGATAACACTTACATATAGTAAGTTTATCTACACCTATTATATTTAAATTAGTTCCATATAAATTAGCCCACCAACTGTACAGATCTTACAGAATATTTTAATTGTTGATATTACTTAAATACATACCTTATTTTAAAATAACTTTTTGTGCAAAACAGAAATGATACTAGAAATTTAAATACGAGGTGAAATTCCACATCAGGGATTTTGCTTTCTTGTTGTTTCAAAGTTTCTACCCTGTTCCATTGATCTTCTCCATTTCCGTGCCAGGCTGTTTTGATTATCACTGACCTGCAGTATGTCTTGAAGACTGGAATTGTGATCCTATCACTTTTATTTTATTCTTCAGGATCGTTTTGGCTATTTGGGGTCTCCTGTGTTTTCAGAACTTTTGTATCTTTTTTATTTCTGAGAAGAATGTTGCTGGGATCTTGATTGGGATGACACTGAATCTGTATATTACTTTTGGTAATGTGGATGTTTTGATGATGTTGATCCTGCTGATCAAGGAACATGGTAGGTTTCTCCATCTTTTAATGTCTTCTTCTATTTATTTATTTTTGATGTTTTGTAATTTTTACCAAAGAAGTCTTCCACATCTTTGGTTAGGTTTATTCCAAGGTATTTGAGATTCTTCTCCTATATTTTTAAGTGGACTATACTTACAAGTTCTTTCTCAGCCATGGGATTATTTGTGCATACTAGCACTATCTATTTATGTTAATTAATTTTATGTTCTGCCACCCTGCCAAATTCTCCTATGAGTCCCAGTGCTTCTCTGTAGAGAATCATGTCATCTGCAACAGGGATAATTTTAACTCCTTATTTTCCAATTTGAATTTCTTTAATTTTTTTTCTTGCCTATTAGCTCTAGCAAGGACTTCCATTACTATATTGAATGGCAGTGGTGAGAGTGGACATTCTTGTTTAGCTCTGGATCAAAGTTGGAGGAATCACAATTCCAGACCTCAATACATTGCAGGGAAGTGGTAATCAAGACAGTGTGGTGCTGGTACAGAAGCAGAGAAGATCAATGGAACAGAATATCATCCCCAGAAGAGAGCTCGACATGCACAGCCAAGAAATATTTGAGAAGAGAACTGAAAATAGTCCAGGGAAAAAGGATGATCTCTTCAACAAATATTGTTAGTACAATTGGATAGCAGCCTGCAGAAGTAAGACACCTTCATATATCACTTTACACATAGGAGAAATGCAAAATCACACACGCCCAAATGATTTAAGTAAAACCCAAATTCACTTGCAAACCCTATTATATGAAGTCTAAAAAGGTTTGATTATATTGAATTATCTAAATAGCCTTTGCTTTGTACTTGAAATTTGCCTGCACTCCAGAACTATTTCACACTCAGTCAAAGGCCCAGCAACACGCTGGGGTCCTGGAACAAACAAGTGCACTTTGGCATTGAGGGGAAGAGCTAGCTTTTTGATAAGGAGCTGTGTATCCCAAAGTATGCCTAAACCTTTTCATGTCTTGTGCAACTTCTCAGATAGAATCTGAAACTTTAAGTTTTCTATAGTGAATATAACAAGTTGATATTTTATATAAATGGAATATGGTGGCTGGCATTGTGGCATAGTGAGTAAAGCCACCATTAATGTTGCTGGTATCCCATATAAGTGCCAGTTCAAGTCCAGCTGCTCCACTTCTGATCCAGATTCCTGATATTACACGTGGGAAAGCAGTGGGAGATGGCCCAAGTGCTTGGATCCCTGCACTCACAGAGGAGTCCAGGAAGAAGCTACTGGCGTAAGACACCCACAGCCCTGGCTACTGCGGCCATTGAAGAGAGTGAACCAGATTAAAGATCTCCCCGCCTTGTTTTCAGTCTTTCTCATTCCCTTTCTCTCTGTAAATCTGCCTTTCAAAGAAATAAAGCATAACTCTCTGAAAAGGATGGAATGAAATTGTATGAGTCTAATTTTTGCAAACTGTAGGTTAATTAATCTACTCATAATTTACAAAAGAAAATTACAAGTTGTAGATAGAAACACTATGAAAATCTAAATTGGCAATAACATTTGAAAGAAGATGACTTCATTCCTACCTTTGCTGTTTAGAAAAGATGAATACGAACAGCATGACAGTCAGTCCAAATATTCCAAAGATAATAATTAGGAACCAGGGAAACCGGAAATCTGAAACACACAAGAATATGTCACTCACGGATGTGTGAACAGCTGAAGTTTACATCTCACTCGCCTTTTCCCCATGAAAACATTTCTTAATTTGCATTCATCTAGTAAAACAGTGATTCCACTCAGTAACTACCGAAACAGAATGCAGTGACTCGATGAGGCTTTTTTTTTTTCCCTTTTTCAGAACAACATCTCCATCCATTTTTCAAATCCTTTTACACTGCAAAACTTCCACATGAAAAGCACACAGTTCAAACTCAATGGTTTTGTGCTCTCTCTCTCTTTTTTCTTTCACTTTTTTTCCCCTGTACATTGCCTGTCCGTGCAGCGTCACCAAAGGCTTCCCACTCTCAGAAGATAACACTGTCCACAAACCACAGGACCGAAACGCTGTCCGCTGCTTGTTTAAAATGCTGTGTGATTTTTCACCTCTGGCTCGAGAATTTACCCAACAGGTGAGGGAAGACATCACATTTGTTTGTACTTATGAATCACAACAGAAACTTCTGAGGCACGCAGAACCTAAACCTTACAGCTTCACATCTTTCCATGTTCACAACAATGCAAAGTATTGGAATTTTATGCATGAGATTTCAAAAACATTTTGCACCAAAGTACACTTATCTTTTAATTTCCCTTGCTACAATCTTCTTGAAATACCTTTGTGTGTGTGTGTATGTGTGTGTGTGTGTGTGTGTGTGTGTGTGTGTGTGTGAATAACACCATCACCTTTGGTTGAAAGATCACTATTGCAATTCTGGCCCTCAAATTTCCATTATTCCTTAAGAATAAATTTCTTCTAGCTGCTCGGTTGCTGGTTGTTAGTGTTCTTACCGTGAGGGCAGAGGTAAGAACATTACAGGTAAATTAGGTTTTAACACAGGGTCTATCTTAATGTTGCTTTATTAAAATGAGGCCTACATGCTACAATATTCTTTTCTCTTGTAGTAACCTATTAAAATCCCTCAGGAATATGTGATAATTAGCAGGTGAGAAAATAACCATTTTGTATCTTGTGGTATGATTCACTCCCCCAGTGGCGGCATTGGCTGGAGCTATACTGATCTGAAGTCAGGAGCCAGGAGCCTCTTCCAGGTCTCCCTTGCAGGTGCAGGCTGTCAAGGCTTTGGGCTGTCCTCAACTGCTTTTTCCCAGGACACAAGCAGGGAGCTGGATGGGAAGCAGGGCCACAGGAATATGAACCGATGTCCATATGGGATCCTGGTGCTCACAAGGTGGTGCCTTTAGCCACCAGGCTACAGCACCAGGCCCGTTGATTATGAATTAAAAAAAAAAAACCTCATTGTAGAAACTTTTAGAAATATATAAACGTATGCAATCCCACTCTTCCGAGATTACCACAGTATTCTCTTCACCAAGCCTTCACCTTCCTTGGGACCTGTCTTGAGTTAAATAATTTGACACTCAATTCTCGTTGTGAGCCGTAATGAACTTGAGGGGTCTCCAATGTTCTTTGCTATTAACATATTCTGATTTGGATAACACATCAACATTGTAGGCATGTATCAACTGTTTTATGCCAAAAGTCATGTTAGCTACCATTTCGATATTTTATTTCATTTTGTTTAGGTATTTACCTTCTTCACATGCAAATGGGCTCATTTGAGGCAGGGTTACGGAGAGCACCTCGCTGAAATCGCCGTATTTTTCAGAGTTTCGTTGTCTGGACCTCACACGCACTTCATATCCCTTGTCCAGCCTTAACGAGTACACTGGGACTGATGTTGACAAGACAGGGTCCATCTTTCAAGACAAGACAAATATAAAAGCTTATCACAACCAATAATTGAAACAAATAGTTCCTGTTGTTATTCTATCATTTGATTTCAAAAGTGATTCCTATAAAATGAATGCTATTTTAAAATTCAGGAAGGAGTTTGCTACTTAAAGGGACAAATAACTGGGAAAATAATGGTGAAATAATCATTTTGTTAAATAGATGATAGTCTCCAAATTCATTTTGGTGCAAACCAAAAGGTACAGCAGACTTGCTTAAGGACACGCAGCTGGATCTTTGTATCAGGCTGTCAAATACTGCACTAAGATGCAAACATAATTGAGTTATTATGAAAAATGGTGGGTATAAAGAAGACTACAGTTATATTGCCTAATTATCTGAGACATTAAAACTATGTATTGGAGACAGCAAAGCAACAGAAAAATAGACTTCTTTTCCACATACAGTGAGTTAGATATCTGTGTTTTTGTTGTTATTGTTGTTTTATGGTTCCGGGCATTATTTTATAATCACAAAATTGAAAAAAAGAATTAGAAAAAAAAATCATTGTACTGGACATTCAAATAAGTGCATTAGAAGCAACCACATGATCTAATCCGCTTGTTTTAGAAATAATGGTGGTATTCAAAATCTGCAAAGAAAATTTACAAGCCATTTTATCAAAACACATGAAGGTCTCACTGTCTTCAAAGCCAGGAGATTCTTTACCTCCCCAAAGAAAGGCAGGGTGGAACCAGACTTGTAAGACAGAGTACCAGAAAGAGTTAGAGCTTTGTGGGATGTCGTTTCCCCCCACAAGGGAGAGCAGGGGATCCAACGTGCTTTACACATTTATAGGGTAGAAAACCTTGTTCTTATTTAGAGGAAACCTGGAATGCTCACCTTTTCAGTAAACATGAAATTTCCCATAAACAAAATTATCATCATTAGTTTTATTAAATCAGAAGTTGAGTTTTCAGCTTTGAGCAACCCAGCTATTTTCTAATTACAAAGGGCCTCTTTCCCCCAAGGTTGCATGATACGGTTACCTACATCTTACATAGTAGCCGTAGAATATATGGAATACCTGCATACTTAAAATTCTATCTTTAAGGCAGAATTATCAGCTTACTTCCTTATTTTTCTTAAGAGAAGCCTATGTTTCCATTGGTGAAGCTCTAATTTCTCTGTTATCACCAATACTGTTTGTAAGTTTACCAACAATAGAATCAAAGAGTTAAGACATAGCTCCTTTCCATCTTCTTTCATTTCCCTTAACCAGTCACAGCAAATTCAAATTTTCTTGCATGGTTCCTAAGAATAGTCATTCCTTCTCCAGTCCCAATACCATACTCAGTATTGATTATTATTGATATTCTAAACCTTCCGGGCACTTTTTTACACTACACTGTATGAGATAATATACTTCTATTATCTATTATATTTCATTATTTACATTTAAGTACAAACAACCTTTTAAAGATTTATTTATTTTTTTTGGAATGGCATATTTCCAGAAAGAATGAAAGACAGAGAAAAGGGTCTATCTGCTGGTTAACTCCCCAAATGGCCACAAAGGCTGGAGCTGAGCTGATATGAAGCTGGGAGCCAGGAGCTTCTTCTGGGTCCCCCATGAGGTGCAGGGCCCTCTAAGATTAGGAACAAGACAAGGACAACCACTTTAGCCCCCTCTAAGCTAACACTGGAAATGCTAGCCAGAGCAATTAGACAATGGAAAAAATAAGAAGTATTCAAATTGGAAAGGAAGAATTTAAATTTCTGCTCCTGAAGACTATATGATCTCATTTACAGAAACCCTTAAACATTCAACGAAAAAAGTTCAAGTAAAAGTTCAAATAGATTCAGTGCATGATGCAGAACCCACATAACCACAGTAAGCAGTGTTTCTACATACTAACAATGAACTATTCTAAAAGAGAAAGGAAGAAAGTAATTTTCCTTACAATTGCCACAAAAATACTTGAGAATGAATTTAACCAAGGAGGTGAAAGATTGGTATACTGAACACTATAAACACTAATAAAACAAACTGAAAAAGAAACAAATGGGAAGATATTTCATGGATCCGAAGGACTGATTTTGTTAATGTGCTCCTTCTCTCATACTTTGAATGGATCATTTCCCATAAATGACTTCAATTGCATCATGCATTGGCCATTTGCATATTACTGGTTCACTGATCGATTCAGATTTTAAACGTTTACATATTTTATTACACAATTTAAAATTTCTTTCACCCGTACTAATATAAACCTCATCAATAAAATATTCAAACACTGAGAATACATCGAGTTCCTGGGTGCCAATACAAATTTTCAAAAATTCGAATTTTTTGAAAGCTTCTTTTTTTCCTATTGGAAATAATACCATCTATTGTTTCTCTTATCAGTTTTTTCTGATAAGAGATTGTGGGTCATATTGCTGGACAGGTGTTATTAAGTAAAAAAAAAGATCTAATTATAAATGAGAGAAGGGCTGCTGACATAGAAGAAAAAAAGTGTAACAGGTTGTAACATCTTACCACTTTCCACTGCGTTTCATTTACTTCTTTGTATTGAAGTTCGTACTCCAAAACTATCCACCCCTTCTGAACATCTGCATTGGGTGGTGGTTCCCATCGCACTTGAATATCTGCATGAATCCCAGTTAAGCTAATGTTCAGTAAAGTCCAATTGAGGCCAATGGGTGGATCTGGTTGCACTGTGAAATTTAACAGAAGATTAGTACAAAGAGAGACAGAACTTGAAATGAATGGAACATTTTCTCCTCAAAAAAAAAAAAAAAACCAAATGATTTTAGGGTTTTTGATCACCCCTACTCCTAAAGTTGTGATATTCCCATTGTTATAACTCTCATTTTATAAGAAAGCGTATTTTAAAACTGATGAGTGGTTAGTTTTTAACCTGCAAAAAAGCATTCCTTAAAATTCCTTTTTGAGTCTAGAATCAATCCATAACCATTTCTGAACACTTGCTATATTAAATACTACTTTTAGCACTGATAACCTTAGCTCTTGGTAAAGGAGTTCATATTAATTAAAACTGAAGGAACAGAAAGTCAGAATAAGGCTCTTTTGGATATATATGTGGGCTTAAACTGAGCTCCCCCAACTGCTGGCTTGATTTTGAACTAATCATTTAACTCCTCTACTTTCACCATCTATAAAATGGGGGTTACATTACAACCTATGTCACATGAACACTAGGCTAAGCCTCCGTGAGTGTAACTTACTACTTACTTCAGGGCATTCTTGCCTGAGCCACACAAATATGCATCATAACAATACAATCCATTTCAGGTTCTTTTGTGGGGCACACAAGATTATTGATGACTCCTCCAACTGGCTGTCAGGTCTGCCTAACTTGACATTCTGTGTTATTTGTTAGCTTTCAGAAGGCACAGTCTACCATGAAAGCAGTCAATACCCATTCATGATTTATGCTGCATTCACACAGCTCAGACATATTATGACTGAAATGGCATCATCTCTACCATCCCTGTGCCGTATTTCCTCATCCTTCTTGTCTGCTCAGGCCACTCATGTTTAGGAACTTATGCATTCTCCATCACGCATTCCCTCAAGTCTGGTACCCACCATGCTAAACTGCATTTAACCTGTGGGTACACATGTTTCCATTTCTTAACTATATCTTATTCATTTTGTAGCCACTATATCCTATGAGTATCTGATATGTGGCAAATGCTCAACATGATTATTGGGTGTGGCTAGTTGCTGGCAGGGACAGGGTTTACAATACAGGCTTTAATTAACCCAGTAGTGCTCCCTTTAGCTTCAACTACACAGCTACACTCACACAGCTCAGACATATTATCCTCTCCAAACTAGAAAAATGGATGATGTTTTCTGTTTACAATTCTATCATCCCTCCCTAGATCAGGATATCAGATTTGACTTGATCTTGTCTGCAATTTTGGATACTTCTTTCCAGTCTTTCTCAATCTGATGATGCCTGGGAAGCCACAAATAACCAGCGCATCTGAGAGAAGCGACAGGAAATTGCTAGAAGCAACCAATGATATTTGCTGGATGGATTTCTAGGCATTGAGATCAGTTACTTAAAATCTTTCTTTGATTCTACTTTTCTGTGTGTACTATTATAAATAAACAGAAACATTCCAGTTACAGTGCTTGGTTTCATTTTGCTTCCTCCTTGTGTCCGCACGATGGGCAAGGCATCATTTGTTTGGATCTTAGTTCATTGAGCCGACTATCTCCAGTGTTTGTTTTGAGATCTTATAAACATGTCTTTAAATTGATTGTAGACGATGTGCAAATGCAAAATCCCAGAATTGTTAAGCTTTGAGATAAAGACATTATAGGGTCTGACCGCAATAATGAACTGGGTAGAAGGGCAACAGATTTCAATAGATTTTCATATGACAATCACATCTAACAATTGGAAAGAAAGAATCTTGAGAGTATACCGTGCTTCCGCCCTGCAGTGGCACAATCCGGTTTTGACCTGACTCCTATTCTTTTCCTTGCAACACTTGCTTCAAAGCTGCTTTACATCAGAGTAAAACTCCCTGCCCTCTTCCCTTTGTCTCTTGCTCGCCAGCTGATTCTACCCTCCGTAAAACTGATCTCCAAGTATCTCTAGAGCTCTATTACAAAGTCTCACTAGTTGATTATATTTGGATCTCATACCCATCCCAATTTATTTAGTCTAAAGCTTTGTCAAATGAAACACAAACCTGTGATTTACCTATTTCCTCAACAGAGAAACACTTTTGATCCACTGTACCCCCATTGTTAGTTAGCTTGATACAGTAGGGGATCCAAATGGAGGTATACGATGAATTAAAGTAGCAGCTGTTCTCGCCAGCAGAAACATAATCAGGGCATTCTTTCCATTCTTGAGTCCATTCCTGTGTGCTCCTGGAATGGAGGGTGAAAATGATGCCACAGGTTAACTCAGAGTGAGGTGCTTGTCAGTCAGATCCCGTAAATTGGAACATAAATATTTTGTGAGGAAACATTTCCAAAAAGTGTCGCATCTGCAGTCAATACCATTAGTGTCTGAAGACTGTTAAGAGACTATTTGGCATTTCTGCCTATAGTGAAAACATTTGTTTATTGAGTACACACGTTCTGCCAGGTTCTAAATTACAGGATTCCTATGGCAGCCATTTTATTATTTATATTCTACAGATGAATAAAGTGTAAGAAGATTGAAAAAAATGTTTATTTGTTAAAATAGTCTAAAGAGTCAACTTTCAACTTATGTAGATTCCCAGATAACAAACAGCCTTTGGGCCCGATGATTGTATCTTCAACTCCTGGCAGACAAATAAGATTTGGGTCTCCAACGTCAGGATAGAATATGAATCAGAAATGACCAAGTGAATACTTTTTTTGGGGGGGTGTCACATTCATATCACTGATATGCAATGAGGATTAATGATGCAAGACTCCCCAGTTTCTAAGGAATTATTGCTGCTGCAGAAGGAACAAATGAAACACTGTATCACAAAACAGGGTGAGTTATGTGCGCACAAGCAGTGTCCATTAGAATCCCTAAGAGTTCAGAAGAAGGAATAACTATTTTGATTGTTCATGGAAGGCTCCATGGTGGAAGTGGTGTTTTCAAAACTAAATGAACTCATAAAACATATGTTGTCACCTGCCTTCACTGATAGAATTTCTGCACTGATGACCAAAGTCGATTTTTGGACACCCATCTCTCCTCTCACTTCCAGTCGCTAAGTGTTTTAGGTTTATTCCCAATTAGTGAGAGAACCATTGAAACACTATATTTATAAATCAGAATAAAGCACAAAAAAAAGTATCTTTCATCTAAAAGCAACCAACTGGGGTCATGCTATCTTTCATGTCCTAAGTGTTACCATTTTAATGACATATGGCTCATGGATGTTTGGCTTAAAATGGAATCTTTTTCTTCAGAAAACAAATGGCGACAATGTTTTTTCTATATCATTAATATTTAAAATGATTAAAATATCAATATGCAAAATTGCTACCTTTTACTGAATACTTGTCATGGGTAAATACATGTTAGAGGCACCAGGTATTTTTTCACAAACACTCATCAGAAGCCATGAGGCAAGCCTATTCATGTAGAGGATGAGTGGGACCCAGACTGAGGGTCTGCAGGGATTAGCTTCCTGTAAAAGTACAGGAGACAGGCTGAGGTGCAGGGCTGTTGCTTGAGGCAATGACCATCCTTGAGGCAATGACCAAGAGCCTCAGGTAAAGGGTTCTCACTAACCATGCCTCTTGGCTTAGATCTTCCCTGGGAATTGGATGTAAGAGATAGTGAAGTGTTTAAGACAAGAGTTTACAGAGGTGAAATGATCCATTGTAAGAGCGGACAGAAAAGGAAACAACGCCATGTGAGGATGACAGATAAACTTCTTGCATTGTGTCTAAATTGAGAGAACCCTGTTTCACTTTTCCTGTTATAGGATATTCACGTATTGAGGATAACTAATTTTAAAGGAACACAGTCTGTTGTCTACACAGATAACAAGCAGAGTCTTTCAAAAACCAGAATGGCATAAAAGCTGCACCTTCTTATATAGAACAGCTGCACAGATCCTGGGCTCGTCAGACCATGATGCACCCCATCTGTCCAGTGGCATGAGAAAGTCTCTAGTTCAGGTGAACGGCACTTGGTGAATTTGGGCTTCCAAGAAGAATCTACAGAATAAAAAGAAAAGGCAAAGTGTGAAATCAAAAGGGTCTTATGTGGTTGTAATGAAACCTGAACTAAAAGTATGCAAAGAACATCACATCCCCATATCCAGGAGGTGACGCCAATTTCTTCCAGTAAAGCCGTTTTCAAGCTCATGATGATGATGATGATGATGCCAGTATCAGCTCTTGATTCTAAAGACACAGTATTTTGCCTTTATTTCAAGCACCATTTCTTAGATCCTGTTTAAGAAACCAGTCCTAGAGCTAAAGACTTGAGTTAAAGTAGTTCATCTGGAGGGCAGTCCCAGGTATGAGATACGAGGGATTGGTGAGACTGGACTGCTAATAGCATGTGTTATTGAGCTAGTTCCTGCAGCAGCCAATTAGGGACCAACTTCACTGAGGCCTTTGAAAACGTGTAAAATGTACCTCACCATTGTTCAAAGAAGGCTGTGGATTTGGACATCCACCAGCTTCCCAGAACTGACTGGTTGAGAATTTCCTTGGAAACACTGACCTCCATGAACTTCTTGCACATGCATACAGGGTGAGTCATGATCTTTGCCAAGGCATGCACCTGGGGATGCAGCAATGTGTATGGTGGCAGCTGTCCAATGTAGAGGGCTGAGTTGACACTGAGTGGACAGAGGATATGTTACACAGAGTCTACAATATCCACTACAGAGCCATTTTTTCACTGACTAAAAATAGTTATTTATATATTCAAATGGCAGGATAAGACAGCACGTGCGAGCACACTTCCATCTGCTAATTTACTCGCCAAATATTTTCAATGGTTAGGAATTGGTCAGGCTGAAGATAGGAAGCAGGAACCTGGGTTTCCCACACAAGAGGAATGAGCCCAAATCCTGGGCCACCATCTACTTCTTCTTGGAGCACTGGCAGGAATTTGGATTGGAAGCATGAGACTCAAACCAGATACTCTAATGAGAAGTGGGTGTCCCAAGTGCCAGCGTAACCTACAGCGCACATCTGCCTGCTTTTCATAGATTTTTGATAAAAGCATTTTAAGATCCAGCTGCTAAACTCAGAAATGCTTGTTTATTACATAAATTCTGACACAAACTCAGAACTTATGTAATACATGTGCATCAATTCTAATTTGGGAAATGGAAAGTGCCACCTGTATTTTAGGATACCATCCCAAGTTCTTCTGGGCTTATGAAATCTGTGGCAAGTATGTGCAACAGGCAAGATTGAAGCAACATGCATTTATTATCATAATGCTCAGTATTCTCATATTCACAGGAATTTTGGTGGTGGTCAGGTTTCTTTTTTTAATTCGTTTTTGGCTGCATATAACTATGATTAGGTCTCAGTCCGATTGTAGATTTCATTCATAAAGATTAGAGTACTCACAATCTTAAACAGCCTTTATGAATCTACTTTAAAGATATTTATAGAGTAAATAGTATGCAAACACTTAAAAATTCCTTATTCCAAATGTCAAGCACATATCTTAGGTTCCAAACCACAACAAACAAACTCATGAAGGATGGCAAGTTATCAACTGTCTATACAATTCTACCAACCACAGGGAACATTCGTTTTGTGACTGGTATCTTCTAGCAATAGAATAATGAGCAAAACTAATGAAGTGGTTTCCATCCTAGTGGGGCTAGGGCATGTAGGGGAAACAATAATGAACAGACAAGGAGCGATAATAAGGTAGGAAATACAGAATGCAACCCCCTTGGACTAACAGCCATGTAATTGCATGGCAGAAACTCATACTTAAGAAATATATCTTTGATTCCACTGTGATCCTGAAAGGCCAGACCACAAGCAAGCAGCTCTTCAGGAAATCCTGAGTTGCAGGTGTGTCTTTAGCCCCAGACTCACAGACTCTGCAATCATAGTGTTGTAGAATATACTCCTTTTCCTGCAAAACCTGGAAAATCTACAACATTTTTGTAGCACAGATAAAAGTTGCTTGGTACCAAGGGCAAATGGTCTTCTCTATTAAATCAATGTATGTTAACTCCTTGGAGTGCAGTGAAACAGAAGATTGAAATATAAATGTGTTTTGTTAGGCAAGCACTGATTACACTGCAAAGAGGAGCTCCTTTTTCTTATTACCTTGGGTACTGAAGATACTATTTAATTTAAAGTCTATCTTGGAAATTAGTGATGATTAATACATGCCCTAATAACTATTTTAATCCCTGCACATTTGAGAAGGGCATTTCTTATTCTACCTGGTCATTTGTACAGTAGATAAGAAGCAAAAATGTACTAGGTTAGAAATGGGAGATGTACATTCTAAGTTTGATTTGACCTTGATCTTTCCAAGCAATTTTGGAATTAATTTCCTTGATAGATTGTAGTAGATGATATATAAGACACTTTACAGCTTCACTGGTATGTATTAAAGCATTAATAATAATGTAAAGAATAATAAGCAAAAACCAGGATGTGATTTTGGCATTTGATCTGAAACAAAGAACATCAAATGCAAACATTATTTATGTTCCTATATTCTCATAGGCTCGTCATATAATGCCTCAAATAATAAATCTAACCTCCTAAACTTGGAAAAGAATCAAAACAAAATAAACAAACTGGATAAAAATCTTTAAAAAGAAAACTAATGGGAAACATATTTTGCTTATTTAAATTTAGTACTTTAATATGTGTTCTGTTTCCTTTTAGCTCCAGATGTATTAAGAGCCCATATTATATCTTCATTTTAAAACAAGAAACAGAAAATTCATGGTTGTGGTGCTAATGTGAAGTGTGCGCCTATACAAGGACCCCTGACATGGAAGATGAGCAGCAAAGTGATTTTTCTTTTTTATTCTTCTTTAATGTCTATTTCCTCCTCCCCTCCCTGCACCGCTCTGATTGACCAACATTCCAAAGCATTAACATTTCTCAGAACCCAGAAATATTGACAATGTTTAAAATTCACTTTCCTTTCCTTTTTGGAGCTTTCACTTTCAGAATCATGGTTTTGACTTGCAGTTGCATCTTCATTTTAGTTACCATTCTGCTTCATCAGATTATATCATGTCGACCACCTCACAGTATTATTTCATTCAATACTGACAATGACTCCAGAAGGTGTGATGGATTGTGAATGAAACTGGAGTCCAGATAAGTGAATTTTCTAAGATAGCAGCCTTAGCACCAGAAAAACATATTTTTTATTAGACAATCCCCATTATTTCTCTTAATTCAACCTTAGAAATCAGTGCCTGGCAAGCCTTAGGAACAGCAATTCCCAGGACTGACTGCATATTGGAATCAATGAAGGAGCTTCAAAAATATTGAGGCCTTGGCCTATTCCTAGAGGTTTCAGTCAAATTGCCTGGGGGTGCAGCCAGAATATTGTGAGCTGTCAAAAGTTCACCAGGTGCTTGCAATATGCAGCAAATCATGAATATAGAGAAAACAAGTTACATGGGAAATAAAAAGTTGGCTTACATCATTAAATTCTGCATATGGTCCCAACAGAGCTCTGGCTCAAAAGTAAGTGCTTGGGAGCCTCATTCAGGATGGAGTGGACAAGACACAGATATTACTGCCTTGGACAAGCACAACAGCGCTTCACAGTGAACACTTGGAAAACTAATAGACATTCGAGATATGTGTGCAACACTGGATGAAACACTGGATGGACTACAAAGCAGCAATAAGAACTGATTAAGAAGAATTTAGGATATTCCTACTCAAATTGTTGTTTACAAAACTTGAAGAGAACTTCACTAGATGCAAATTTTTAAAGCTTGATCAAATTTGGTAGCATGCCCACAGCTACAATGACAGAGAGGCAGTGTTCGAGGGAGTTGGAAGGTGTTACTGTTTGTAACAATTACCTTACTTGCTCCATGACCGAATTTGCATGTCAGACTGTCTTGGCAGGCTGAAATCAATTGCCTTTCTTATTACCCTAGTAGTTCTCTCCTCTCAGTAAGATGACTGTCCTAAAAAGGCCTGGGACAACTAACAGCTCGTAGGCGTCAAAAGTATTGACTTGTGTTTTGACCCTCTGCTCTATCATAGCAGAGACACTTTACTCCATGAGCCACTGGTGTCTCTTGTAGAGACACTTTTCTGATCTCAGCCCACAACAAAGTAGAAACAGAATAATTGAAATCACACACAGTTCCACAATCTGCAGAAGGTATGGGGATAGGGTAGAGGAAAAAAAAAACATTTGAAATGAGAAGGGAAGATTGGAAGGAAAGACATCAGCAATCCTCTTTAATATGGTTAAGAAAACTCACTGAATTAGTTTGCATAAAAACATACTAAAGAAAATGATGTTATAGATTGTATAAATGATGTAGAAAACATGATTTTAATCCTAAATGGTGAAAGTGCAAGATCAAATCAGAGCATGTGGTTGTAAGTGCATGAAAAATGAAAAGGGTCATACTGTAATGAAATAAAAGCATTTTGGAACAATGAAAATAGAAATGTATTGGACCAAACAACCTTTGTCCCATTATGCTAGATTCAGATTCTGGTAACAAATCTGCTATGCAGTCAATCAAGTTCAGTGTTGGAAGAGAACCTTCACACATGCTCAGTCACCCCAGTTTGGATAAAGAATGGTCACTGATGAATGTAAGCCAAAGTGAGGAAATGCTCATTGTCAAGTGAAATAATTTTCACATGTTCTGGGGGATTGCAAAAGCACACTGGTCCAGGCCAAGTATGGGGAAACTGTTCCTTCCATGAATAATAAACAAGGGATGGTGATTCCAGCAGTTAGTCCACTGCCTAGCCTTGGGGAACAAGTTTTAGGTGACTCGTTAGCCTAAATGTGTCAGTAAGGTAAAGGCATGTTTGTGTTTTGTCTTTATGTATGGGCAAGGCATACCACCAAACATTCATAATCTGCAATGGTTTTAGGAAGGAAGATATGACGATGTAATCTGTCATGATGGGAAGATGTTATTTTATTCATTGTTACAAGGTTTTGAAGTCTCCTCAGACAGGGACAGAATGATAATATCATAGCCACTGACACTTCT